TTTTTTTTTAATTTTTCATTTAATCCAACTTGTGTTTGATTTTCTAAGTTATTGTGACAGGTGAGGACTAAAAAATGCATCACAAACTAGTAAGCGTATTTTGTGAGCTGAGAGTTTGGCACTTGCATAATAAGGACCACGTATGTAGGTGGTCCTCCCACGGCTGTCACCCTGCTGTTGAAACTCAATGTGTTTCCACATTTTAACAAAACCTGCAACTCTATTTTAGTCAATAGGCTACACCCAAGAAAAGCCCAAAAGCCTTTCTTGTCCATTAGAGGAAGCTGTCAAACCCATCATTAAGCCTGATGATCTGTATCCACGACGGAGCTTTGACCTGAGCACTGGGACATCTGCTGACGAGCAATGCTGTGGCTGATAACGAGCTGGGAACAGAGTTGAATGGATGAGAAGCAAGGAAGAGGAGAGGAGAAAAGGATTAGAAATGATCACAGGAAGAGGAGAGGGATCCTGAAGTGATGGGGACAACACAGGGGGAGGAGGGAAACTTGTGAAACAGAAGAATAAAACAAAAAGAGTAAATGCCAGAGGGAGAATATTTATCTGGGTGTCACACTGAGGGATGGGATGGAAACTGTGGCAAGGAAGACAGAACAGTTTATTCTGAAAAGATGCAACGTATCAGGATAGCAAAAATCCTTGAACCTGAATGTGGATTATCAGTTCTAGTGGGAGATAAATATCACAATGCTCTGAATACATCTGTGGACCTAAACCGCTAAAATTAATTGCTTTCCACTCTCAAGACAACAAAACAAGCAACTAAAACTCTATACATTGTTTTAGATCATGAAAACGTGGTTGTAAATCATTTGATTAAAACGTATTTATACAGTGTCAGATCGTTGTTTTAACAGAAAACTAATCACTCCAAAACCAAACAGAAGATTAATGTAAACACACATTTTTAAGGTAATTTAGCGAGTCCAAAGGCAACAATCAACGCAGCTTCTGTGTAATAACACTATCTTGGGAGGCATTTGACCTCATGGATTCCTTTTCATCCCAGTTGATCCTCATACTGCTTACGGAAACAGTCTCCCACAGGAAAGAATTCCCAGCAACGCTCCTGGTACATTTTCCACACATAGGATTCCTGTAAAGTCCACAGAGTGGTTATTTATCTTAAAGGCACATCTAATGTATATATGTGTCTGCAGTAAGCTCAGTAAATTACTAAACAGTTTCCAAAAAACATAACTGAAGTTTGAACCTTTTTTATTGTTGTTTAGCACAACAAAATGTTCAAACATCAAACTTTTTGATGACTTCCACTAGCTGCCCTCTTAGTCTGAGAAGATCAAACCACTTGAAGAAAATAACATTTCCCAAAACRCAGTTCAGTTCAATAGCACCGGCACCTGAGTGTTAAAAGACTCTAAAAGTTCTTTATGCTCTAATCGATTGTGCAATTTCATATCTCAGAACCAAAATCCAAATTGTTAAGTATGAAAAAAGTTACTTTTTTTAGTGATTGAACACAGAAGTCCTTATGTAGTTTATACTGCACACCTATTTTTATAGATAAACCAATGAAAGAAAAAAGTTACCCACATGGCACAAAAATATTTATCTTTGATCCGTGCAACAGGTCATGCACAATATGTTACTACTAAAAAGGAACTGACCATTAAGTAGAGCACATGCAGAAACTTAAAGCTCAGTCAGGATTGGTGTGTGGGTTTAATGCAAGAGCAGCATATGAGTGAAGAGACAAACCGTAATCATAAGGRGCCTGCCTGGCTTGGATTACTATCATTACTGTGCATTCCTTGGGCTTTAGAGGGATTGTGCGAATGCAAATTTGGTCCTATTCGAAAAGGTTACACTACAGCTTTGTCATTATCATAGCAAATGCTAGCATTAATAGGTCACTGAGACAGGGGGGAAGCGTTGTGGATGAATATATTAAGAAAGCTGATCTTTCTGTGACAGTTAAATTGTTCAGCAGTCTTTTAAAGTGCCCACCTAATTCTTTCTTTGATGGGATAGTGCAGTATAAAAGGAGAAATAATTTTTTATACCTGCCCAGTGTGTTCGGTTTCATCCTTGTTAATGAGATACATCAGGAAAAATCTGCAAGCACACAGAAGAGAACGTAACCTTCATTAAGGGGAAAATAAAACTGCATAAACATTTCCAGCATTAAGCTGAGTAGGTTTGCAATAATTGAGAGTGSAGTTGTGTAATTTCAGATGGAACACAATCAGATAACAGAGGTGTCTTTTGACAATCTGGTCATATGTGGGAAAATATTGCGTGACTGACACGAATGAAGAAATACAGAGAATTGCAAATATTGACTATTAAGATTAAAGTTTTGTTGTCATCTTTTTTTTCCAGATGAACCAAAAATGTCACATGAGATATCAATGTAAATCTATAGTAATGAAAAGAAAATAGTCAAGCAAAAACATGCTTCATCCACAGTAATCAGGCTCAGTAAGCTTTTTCTCCCACCAATTAGTGCAGAAGCAACTGGGCAACATAAAAAATTAACAATTTTCACTTTTTGTGAACGTGAAGCTTCTTGACTCAGTGTGGTATGAAAAGAAAGATCTATTTTTATCCTTATAGCATGTTTTTTATTTTAGCATGTTATGGGCAAAATGCTCAATAAACCTGTGAAATTATGCTTATTTGTTTCCATATTTTGAAAGTGTGGATTTAGATTTTTTTAGCAAAAAATAAGAAAATGCAGAAATATTGTTAARCAGAGTGAGGTATTTTTCTCATCACAAGCCTGCTGGTTATCTAAGACTTTACATGAGAATTTTAGAAAAACTCAAAAATATATGTCATAAATATGTACAGTATATAATGTGACAAAACAATAGGAAAGATGGGCATTTAAAATGTCTTATGAACAAGACAAAATTTTACAACAAATGTAAAAAAAAACACACTGTGTTATGTTGGCACTGATGGTACATCAGAAATAATTTGTTGGAAGGCAAATACATAAAAAAATTGCATATTTGTGCTTCTGTTGTTTATTAACAATGCCTATCTTTTACACAAGTCCACATTTACAACTATCATTAAGTTATGCTGTTAAGAACCAGTTTTGATGTTTGTAAAAATGTGATGTTGAGACAACAACAAACCAAGACCTAGGAGCAGCAGCAAACAACTCACAGGTAGTTGGCCATATTGTGCTCCTGCAGAGTGTGAGTCTCAAAACCATGMGGGATGTTATCGAAGTACTCACTTCCTATTCCACATATAAAACACTTGGTCTGCAGAAAGAAGAAGATCTCAGGATTTATTCAGCAAAAACAGGAATGAAAAATGAAAAAGAAAAATGTAATATAAGTCCAGATAGAAAAACTRTGTTTTTTAGTGTTCAAATTACATAAAAATTACATATTTAGTTTCTTAATTGCAGACACACAAACAAAAAAMAACAACCACATTTTACCAACATATTGTTTTCTCCTTCACAAAGTTTTTTTCCCCAACATTTCTCTAATATGAAACAGTGTAATTTACCTCACCCTAATTCTTTGCAGAAAAAAATGAGCAAACAAACATTGGTTTAATGTTTGTTTTAGTTTTAATGCGATCTGCTTGTTAGGTCACCTGCATTTAGAGCGATAAATTTCCGGAGGATGAAAGCAGCAGGTGAACCACATTTATCATTGCTGAGTGCAGTGAAGCATAACACTGCTGAAAGGTAACATCTGGAGTGAAAGTTGCAAAATCACTAGGAATGTTTTGTGTTTTGGGGACATGCGTAGTGGAGAAGAGACCTTATGAAAACTATGAAGATTGCTGTCGATGACTTATTTTAAAAAATGATTCGAAAACTAAATTGCATGATATTGTGCTGCTCAAACTTTGTAAAACCTTGTCTTGCTTCTGTTCTCTTTAGCCTTTAGTAGGCTACAACATTTTCCCTTTGATTGGATTCATCTTGAATCTGTTTTTCAGTCCACTGAACCGTAGATGTCTTTTTTTTCCACCATCTGACACTCCATAGTTGTATGCACTGTGGCTACTCTGTCTGAAGACTTAATCAGAACAAACAGTGGGTGTAAAACTAGCTTTGTAATGCCATTAATGCAATTTTAAGATTGCTACAAATCTATATAAATCTTATTAAAGTTGTGACTTTCTGAGATTCAAATAGTTACAGAGTAATTGGTCTTTTAATGCTGCAAAGTTCGAATAGCAAAAGTGTGCACACAGGAAGTCTTTTTATTAGAAAAAATTTAAGTCTTCACCTCCATGTCCTCTTTCACCTGTTCCTGCTGGTCTCGAAGCTCTCCGAAGGCATCAATTATTAAGCCTAAAAGAAGGACAAATTTGTGTGACTGGGCAAGAAATGCATGTATGCAGTGTCATTTTGTAGAAAACCTCTGAATCTGTGGAATGAAGACATGCAGCTGACTTTCCAATCTAACAAGAAATATGTCGCCTGTTGCTCTCAAACAGTGATCGCGATTTATTTGTTTGCACTGTAGGCTGTCCCGAAAATTTACGATGTACGTTTATTGCATTTTGTCAGMTTTGGTATGAGAGAAATTTGACCTGTGACTCACCCTGAATGATGGCCAGGAGGATTACAATGACAAAAAAGAAAAACGTTATGTCAAAGATGATTCGTTCCACCTCAAACTCATCTCCAGCAGGATCTGCGATCTCATCACCGATGCCACCGCCAGCACGCACTCCCACATACATGTGAAACATGTAACACTATGAAAAAAAGAAAGTGGCATTAAAGCTGRCATATTTAAGTACAGAGCTATTATTTATTAAAACATTATGGATGGACGAGAGGATTTTATTCCAGGACATGTTTTGAGTAGTATATACAGTATACAGTATATGAACTAGTGTTGTGCTCAGATAACACCTCATGGAGAAAAATTCAAGCTGAAGAAGACGATTGATTTAAAGTTCCTTCATGATTTTTTTTTCCCCATTTGCTGTATTTGGGGAGCATTTGGAGGAACAAGCAGAGTTTTTATACAACTCTCCAAAGCAGTACTTTTTTCAATCAATATCCTGCACCTCAGAAAGTGTTACTCAACTAGGATTTTATGTAAGTGTATGAGGTGAGAAGAATTACCATTTACGTTGTCTGGCACAGACTGTTCTGTGCTTTTGAGTGCTATGGCCTTTATTCAAAAGCAACTGGAACAAAATCAAAACTGATTTTGCTGACAGTCATTTCTCAGCATTTCTTCAGTGTCAAAAGGTGACAAAGGTTGTGGTATTCCAAGAAAGGGGTAGGGATTTTAAATCACTGTCATTTAAGCCTGATAATCAGCAATACAGTAAATGTGATGGATGATTCATTGTAATATTTCCTGCCTCCAATAATAACAGAGTTTATTCAAATGCTATCACTGTACAGCCGCTTGCCTGTGACTGACAGCAAAGTCCACATTAGAATAGAGAGGAGGTTGGGTGTTAATGCTGTGAATAGGCAAACAAAAGGGTAYTCTGATGCTTCAAGTCACTGTTTCATCCATGTCTCTCATCTTAAAGAAAAAAAAATGTTGCTTTCATTTTAGAATTGGGGATTAGCCAGAACCATCCTTTGCCTTTCTCGATCGGAGGTCAAAAAATGAGATGATGTGTAGTGTTTGTGTTSTGAAAAGATAAACAAACACGTAAACAGGGTTGTGAAAAATATGAGTTAATATTAACTCACTGTTAGCATGTCGTTGCACTTCATGTCTTCGGTTTCCTTGTCTTTGCTCTTCTTGTAAAACTTCCTGAAGAAAATAAAGGCTACAACGGTGTACAGGTACACCACAACTGCCAACAGACCCAGAGTCAGCACCAACTAATGGATATTTACAAAAGAGGAGACAAAAGCAGATGACACTAAACATAAAACGTCCTTATGCAAAATCTTCAGTATAATGCTAGACAGTAAATGTAAACTTTATAGGCATTTTAAATGCATTTATTGATCAATGGGTAGGGAATTAGGGCTCAAACACACACCTGTTTTCCATTGTGTGTGACGGAGGAAAGAATGGTACGAAGTGTCTTAAAGCCCATAGCAATATCCAAAAGATGGGCAGCAAAAAAGAAGTTGTTATAATGACCCAGAACTGACATGGTCATGTACCATGCCAAGTATAAAAAGGACTAATAAGCAAAGAGAGACAAAAATAATGCATATTAGATTGGAAGAAGAGAGAGATAAATGTGTATTTTAGATAAGGTTGAATCACAGGATATTACTATCACCTCTGCAGCACRTGCAATTGTATCAAACGAAATCTAACCACAGAAGATTTAATCACTAAATATTGAACAGGTTTAACACAAGATGCTAAGTCATAACGCAATATTAGCTTTTATAAATTAAAGGAAGTAGTACCTTTATCTTTGCTTTGGCATAAAGCAAACAGGGAAAATCAAATCAACGAAAAGCCATAAAACACTGAACACAAACTTACATTATCTGTGAACACAACACCTAGTTTCCACACCTGGTACTTTACGTCAACGGAGTTAAATCTGAAATAAACAACAGGACCACAACAACACACAAAATACATGAGCACCAGGAAAATAGGGTCAAAATGTCCATGAATGAAATGARACCTCTTTGAGCTACAGTGTGTTCTTCAACAGAGTGTTTGTTATGTGATGACATCTCAGAATGTCCTGTTCCCCCTCAAGTACAACATAATGTTCTGGGAACCTTCTTTTGTCAAGTAATGTGTGAGGTAACACAAAGAGACACACACATCCTAAAACACAAGTTTATCATTTTAGTGAAATACTTCATTATAAAAGTATTGGCCGGCAATATTCATTTATCTGAWATGTTAGTTCGAGTTGTAACTACACAACCTATATGAGTCAGAAGAGTTGCTGCGTACTGAAAAGATYGTCTTGGAAAATGTATTCACTACAGAAAGGGCAGTATTGATTTCATGGTTTGGAGGTTGTTTTCACCTAAAAAGCAGGCTGTTTGTATKCTAATGCACTGTGCAGGTGTGCAACATTGCTAACAGCGCTACAAGCTTCCTGTTTAAGTAAATAAAAGTGCACATTTTTGTCATTAACAAAATGCATATTTTRTTCTGGAATAAAGACAATCTTAATCATTTATAAATACTTCACCATGATTACCTAAAACTCCAAACTAGACGCAACTAATATCAAACAATACCTGTATCTTTTCAAAGATTCAGAACTGCAAAGACCTGGACATTTTTAAAAAGGTTCAACACTCACAGAGCACTCCAGTTTGTGTCTCTCCTGAGCCTCTTGTTCTCTGTTCTTTCAGAGCTGAAGTCCAAAGCAGCTCGGTCCAGACCCAACAGTTCATTGATCTTCTTACTGCCATAAAAGTCGCCATATTTATCCATCACCTAAMAGAGCAAAAAGTCAAGTTTAAATAATAACTCCTTTAGCTTTTCCCCCTTCTAAACAAAGCATGGCAAGTGAGAGCAGAAGGTAATTGGCTGCATTGTCTGCACAGTCTGAATCATAATGAGATGGCAGCTTAGCTCTGCCGACAAGATGATGGTGCTGCTTATGCAGTAACAACTCTCGAAGAAGTAAAGAAATGATACCACTATTCAAGATGTATGAATATTTTAGAGATGCAGTGRTGAAAAATCATGATGCAAAAGCAATTAAGTAAATCATGTTGCATTTAAGTGAAATAAAAAATTCACTTATTGCTCATTGTTTACCAAAGATAAGTATTGATCCAGCCTTTTAGTTTAGCCTTTATGCATGATGTGCTCAAACACAGCATCATGACAAGAAAAATAAAGTTCCTAATCTCATTATCTAACGAACACAGAGTTCTCTTAATGAGCGGCTGCAGCTTTAAGAGATTTAATGTCACTTGTTTAATTAAGGTAAAATGAGAGCCAGCCAAAGCCTGGCTTTCTTACACAGCCTACCTTATTATCTCAAACAAATTACTCTAAAGTGTGGCAAGCTAAATTCAAATGTGCATTATTAAAAGGTCAAAAAAGATTTTACCAGCTAATTCACTGTGGACTCTTACAGTGATGCAATGCGCAGTAATAAATGCAAGGTGTGAGTGACAGTTTTATGTTTGCCAACTGTTCACGCTGGAAGTAAAACACCAAAGGTAGACTGAAGGTACTATAATMTGTCAACTCATAGAAGTCAAAGTCAAAGTGTTTCTTGCAGAACACATTATGGACCAAGTCATTATTTTCACTCCGTTTAATGTGTTTGTGTAGTAACACAATCAATTACTTAAAATACATTATGCGTTTTGCTAATAATAGCCTCAGGCTTTCATAATCAGCTCTGCTAGTTAACTTTAGTCTGAAAACAGAACCACAGCATCCAGCTCTTTACCTAATATTTATTATTTAGGACATGAAAAATACCTTTTTACCATCAACATACAGCATTGTAACAATTTTTTTAATCAATATGATTACAAATATAAGCACATATGTATATTTTTATAGAGAATGAATGGCAGAACTTTACCTTTCTTTTCACAAATTTATCCCAGTAATTACTAGGAAATGATCTGGAGAAAAGAAATAAATAAATTGAAAAACAATCACATATGCTTATTTTAAAATATTTAAATACAATGCTAAATGACTTTTCACTCACTGAAAATTTGTAAAAATACAAGTGTCATGTTGATGTTACATTGTCATTTTTAGTGATGTAACATCAAGTTTTAAGTGACTGCTGCGTCTCTTAAATGTAAACAACGAATGTTGGTTTATTTGATAATATATATTTGATCAAATGTACCACATTAAATTAAAATGCTTTATACATACGGTGTATTAATGACCAGTCTGTCCCACTGYCCTTTAACGTCTTCCTCAGGAGGCTGCTGTGTCACATACAATCCGTCAAACTCCAATCTGCGTGCCACCTCTTTCTCACGTTTGAAGATCACTAATGGTACCTTTCAAGCAAATGCACTTGGTTAAACACGTTCTGACTAAGTTAGAAAACTAAGTAAAACACAGACTGTATCTGCCAGCATGTGTTGTTCTTTGGTGATTTTATAGTTTTAAATCAATGTCTGACTGAAAATGTTGGATAGAAAATTACTCATAAATAATGAAAGTGGTTCATTAAATGTGTGCAGAAGCATGACATCATGTTTTACCTTGAGGCAGTAGTAACCAATAATACAGCAGAAAGAGATGATTGTGTGTGCAACAGCAAGGAAATGGAGAGATGGCTCCATGTAACCAGTGGTTTCTTCCAGCACAAAATAAACTCTGCTACTGTTGTCGTGTTTTATAGGAGAGTCCAGTTCCTCCCTGTTTATAGATGAGGCCAATATTTCCTCTTCTTTGGATATGGGTGAGGATGTGACCTACAAACAGTGAGAGACAAGGAGAAAGATGGTGCTTAGTGTAGCCCTTTGTAACTTGAGCTTTAAACACGCTTCATAAATAGTGATAAATAAACAGTTTAAAGGTTTGTGAAAAGACAGCCACATTAAAAGGTAGAGATRCCAATTTATTTATAACTCAGGATAGCCACCTAATTAATGCCAAAACAGCGAAGGGGCGCCACATTAGTTTAGACTTTTGTTTCTGCAGTTTCACCTCTTTTACAAAATGGATTTTAATTTTACAATTAGATCACAGTTTAAATATTATTACATAAAGAATTTTGGGCAGAAAATATTGCTGCTTCTTTTGTTGTATTTAAAGAAAATGAGACAATCTCATTTTTTCCATGAAGTAAGTCATGTCTAAACACAACAATACCTACATACATGATTTACAATAGAATGACTGGACAAGAAATTGTATTTCTGTAAGGATGCAGCATATCCTAAAGTTTGCTCTCACCTTAAAAAACAGAAGGATGAAGTTGATTGCAAAAGCAACAAATAGAGCCAGCAAACGCATGTTGTAAAAATTCCTTGCAAAGTAGTTCTAGGGGAAAACAAATGAGAAAAATAATCTGATGGAAACTTTTTTACCTTTCATATTTTTGCAGGAAAATTCAAGAAGGTGTAAGTATGCATCCTTATCAGTGTATTGTGTGCATATTGTGTGTTGGTGTCTTTGTTTCACCAGAAGACTCTTGTTGTGGAAGCTTATCATTTCCCAGAGAGCAGATTGTTGGCTCTGTTGTCTCTTTTGCTTGTTTGGTCTTCTCTTGGTTCTCCGTTTCACCTTTTCTTTCATATTCCCAGTTTTCTTCTCAGTTTTCTCCCTTTTGTAAACAGTCCAAGAGTGAAGGTCAAACAGATTCAATTTGAAAAGAGAATAAGGACAATTGGATAAAAAGTTTAMCTTATAAAAGTTCCCCTTATTTTATGAATTGTGTGACTTTATATTTTAGTTTTTACTAAAATTTTGAGTCAAATTTTTACAATTTTTTTCTATTATGTTTAAATTATTTTTAGTCTTATTTGATCAAAATTCTTTTACAAAAACACTTACTTTGTATTTTGAAACTCTGATATTTGGTCATTGTCTGGTCCTCCTGAGTCCAAGTGATGTTTCAGCTTTTGTCAGTGTTAAAAAAATAGAATGTTAAAAAATTAGAATAATTATCAGAGTATCAACGTGTTAAATTAACTGATTTCAAAGGCACWAACACAATAAGATATTCATACCACTTCCTGGTGTTCTGATGCGTCAGAGTTGGRTTTTGCTGTGGATGTGTTGAACAAATCCGTCAGACTGTCAGTGAGATCCTGAGTTACCAGTCGGTACTGACCTCCCTCCTTTGTCAGTTTGAGACCAAATATGTCTGACAACACATCCACCTCTCTGGGAAATGTCACAGATGCCATCTGCCCAATCACCTTCAAATCTGTCTGGGATGAGAAGCTAGCAGAGTACTTTCTCAGTCTATCTACACTGCTTGGCACCTCCATGACCTCATCAAGAGTGGGTTCAAGGATACCACCCAGCAAGTCAGACAACCTCATCCTTTTCACTCTCTCTATGAGCCTGCCRCTGAAAAAGATTACATACAGTACATACATGACGCTGTGAATGACAGCATAAATGCTCCGGACCTGAGCCATGCAAATCAGCCTCAGAAGTAAAAGTAATGTTGTAAAGATATCTTTCAAAGTCATTTTCATCAGTGTCCTAAGGTTTTTCACAGACAGTAGACACACTGGCAACATCCACAAATTATAAATAAAACATGTTCCCTTGTTGTTTGCAGAATTATCTTTAGCCTCTTCRTCCTCTTGTTTTCCAGCACACTTCTCTCCAGTGTTGGAGCCAGAAATCTGGTCTGCAAGCTGCATCTCAAAGATGGTGTCTTCACAGAAATTGACAAACATTTCCATTTTCTCCTTTTCTCCTCCCTTATTGACCACATCAAAAACAAACTGYCGCTTGGACTCTTTGACCTGTGGTTTCTCCCACTGTGTGCGATTGTATTCACTGATCTCAAAGTACACACGTTCAAAGCGCTTCCCACTGCCAAGGATCTCAATGCGTCCAAGWCTGGGCTGGAAGTAAGTCAATACACAATCTGCTAATTCCATGAATGTCTTCAGTCTAGAATCTTTGGGCATGTGTTCAGACAAATTGGTGAGAAGCACGGCGATACTGAAGCCGATGTCTTTTGCCGGCTCATGGAAGCGATCTACAAAGGTCTCGTATTCCACAGTTTGACCATCATTTGTCTCCACACAAGAGAGCAGGAAGTGGATCTCAGTCTGGGAGAAACGTTTACAGGTTTCCATGGCTTTCTGGAGGTCTTTCTTGCATATGTTGCCCATACAATCAGGGTCATACTCTCTGAAGCCTTCTGAGGATGTGAGGTCTTTCAGTTTGAGGAACATGTCAAAAAACTTGAGAATCATCTCCACATTTCCTGATGATTCCACCAACATATCCACCATCTGCTTTCCAATTGTTCCATTGATAATGTTGCCTGGAGAGAAAAAAATCATTATGGTAGTGTACGGAACCAATTAGGAAAATGTCTCTATCCAAATAGATATGGACCACTGTAGTCATTACCTAATATTTGTACGAGCATTTTTTTGTAATATTGGTATTTGTTACCTTCTAACATGGAAAGCAGGAACACAACCATGTCCTTCTGCAAGTCCATGAGCTCCTTCAAAAGTTTGATTTGCTTTGAATCCTGCATTAAACAAAGTTACATACAGTATAGAAAATGATTTGCTTCATTTCACGATTCTTTGGAAACCGATGAAACAACGATTGTAGCAAGTCGTACTTGTAACAGCACCACAGAACAAAATTGAGAACAGTTTGAGTAGAAACCCTAGAGTACAGTGCAACCAAGAACATTATCAGTTTTACATGTGGTGTGTCTTASAGGAAAAATAACTACAATAAATTTCTCAGGATCACTGTACTTTACCTGAGAGAGTTTCATCTGCATCTGAGCAAAGACATGGAGGAATCCCACCACAGCATCCCAGAGACGGCTATAGGCTAGACTTCGTTGATTCCCTGTGCATGGGCCCTGGATGAACACATGATAAAAATCCAAGCAGCTCTGGGATATAGCCTGCTCTCAATCTTAAGAGTAAAAGGCTAAAAGTACTAAGGAAAATCCTTTGACATTTTAAAATACAAAATCCAAATTCATCACAAGCCACCACCAGAAAGAGGTCAGATCAGTTCCAAATTTATTCTGCAGCATGAATAATTTTGGAAGAATTGCTTTTACTTTAATGTCTTAAAACATGAAAAATGTGTACAATTTATGTATATACTAAGGAAAAAAAGCCCAAAAACATTAATAGCATGATACTTCAGACTGACTGACCTGGATGTACTCTGTAAGGGTGTTGAAGACCTGCTTGGCTACTTCAATGGCCTTGGAGAAGTTGTGTTGACCGAGCGGATCAATCACATCCTTTCCTGAGTAGTACCAGTAGAAGTCACTGATTGACTCCTGTCATGTTGCACAAAACAATGTTTGTGGGTTATTATCAGAAATAAATTATAGAGCCTCCGAGGATTGTTATTTTCATAATAGGTTTGTAGTTTTTATAAAGACATTCGGTTATTATAAATATCTCCAGTGGACTGAATTATGTTGTGCCCAGAAATACACAAACACAAAAGAAAAGAACACTTCATCACAGCAGGCTTACCTGCACCCTTAGCAAAAAGTCGACAGTTGAAATAATGATGTTGACAGTGGTGTTGTTTCCTGTTTGGGTTCTTAAATAATTTTGGAAATCTTTAAAAATAAAAAAATAAAAAAATAAAAATCAAGATGAATCTATTTTATGGACAGTAGGAATAGTACAAGTGTTCTACTCCTTGTAACACTAAGCATGAGTAACTATTCCTATAGATGTCAAAAGAAACAAACAAGGATCATGAACGGTACAATAACACATCAGTTAACATTTAAGATAAATTACCAGAGTTATGTCCTTCACAGAGCAGCTGCAGGAAACGGAATAGATCACAAGTCAGGTCTTTGTCTGGCATTACTTTCTCTTCTCGGAAAATGATGAATGGATTAGTGTAGGAAAGAAAAGTAAAAGAAATAATGTCATACTGCATAAAAAGTACAAGAATACACAAGGTTATGAGAGAGAATGTGAAAAAACACAATGAAACCAAAAATCAAGTCAACATGGCATAAAAATAATAGATGATGTTAAAAATGAAAACATAATAAAATTTAGACTGAATTAGAGTTTTTTAGCCAGCTCCCCTGCTTTGGCACGGAAACAGTAATGTTTTGTTTTTCCATTTGAATACCATACCTGAGCTCTCATCCGTGGCCATGCCTAATCCTTCTGCTTTGTTCTGCCTCTCAAATGCATTCAGATCCAACACACTGAATGGCAGAAAATCATACACACACAGTCTTTTTACTTCAACCATTTTTATCAAATCAGTATGTAAAGCCTGCCCTCCACTGTGATATTTAACAGGACTCTTTGTCTATCATCACTCACCTACATGCCTGCATGAGCCCAGCCATGCTCTGAAAAAAGCCAACATCCCGCTTCTCTCTTAGATAATCCAGCATTTTCTGTCAAGCACAGCCATCAGAGACAAGGTTTGATAGATATCACTTAAAGGCAGTGTAAGTGTGATATTATTCATTATTAGTGCAAGTTTTGCTGCAGTGCAACTATTTCAATATTTAGTGCTTGAGGTAAAGGAATGGTCAAAGTCTTCTATGGAAAATACTGGGCAATTTTCTTTATTATACTCATCATTATGATCATTTATGAACTCAATGAAAAAGTGTCAACAAAACAAGATRAAATGTTCTGGAGACTGAATGCTTTGACTTGCATAACGCATGATTTTGTTTCTTTTTTCTTTCTTTTCTTGTTTCTTTATTTATTTTTGTGTTAATTCTAATATTCTTTTAAAAAGAAAATCTGAACAGTTTTATAACAGATGTCATGTGGAAGTTTCAGAGTAAAACAACTCACAGTTGTAGGCAAAAGCAATGTATCACCTGCTGAACTGTGACATTYCCTCCGTTGAGAATAGCAATACCAAGTTTCAGAGTGGGGGCAATCATGGAGCTCATGGTGCCTAAAATTATTTAAAAACAGTTTTGATGAGAAATGCTATAATGTATTAGTCACATTTTCATATAAAGTGGTTATTTTAGATTGAAAACTGAGTACGAGCTTTGTTCAGTTTGAATCTATTCCTTTTCTGAAGCAACTCCTTGAAAAAAAATAATAAGACCATAAACCAAGCTACAGGTCGATTCAAAACAAGCATTGATTTGTATGAGCKCCAAAACTATGACTATTACATAACCAGCGGTTGCTATAACTTTGTAGCAGGAGGCTATAGATCTATTCCTAAGTGTATTGATCTAATTATTGATAGGCTGGCACCAGTAATTGAGCAACTGGCCCCGGTAACTGAGAGACCGGTGTGGCAAATGAGAAGGAGACCATTCAACGGAGAGGCGACTAGCATGAATAAGCTGGCCTTAGCATTGGAGAGGCTAGTGATTAGCATGTCTAAGCTGCTCACCTACTTCATTAGACACAAACATTTTTTAATAAAGAAAACTTTCTCAACAAAAATTGACAGGTGTTCCTTAGACAGAATTTACTGTTTAATATGACGTCAAGCATAAATATTAAACATAAAACATATTACTGTGAAGCAGACAGYTTTAGTCACCATCTGAATTAGCAGCTGTGTTTGTGTTTGTCTACTGGTTGATAGTGCTGTTTTTTTCTCTTTGACCAAATTATGAGAAAAGCCAGAACTATCAAGTTGGGGCTTTTTAGAGAACGTTTAGTTTACAGCTTTCTTTATTCAAAAAAAGTTTGTAGGTTAGCAGCCTAGGCAACTGCTGCCTACGCTGCTGYTACAAGGAYATAGCAACTGCTGGTTGCACAATAGTCTTAATTTTGGCCCTCATACCGWRCCATAATTTTSTACCTTTGCTGGCACTTATGGTTTGCAGGACCATCTCAGCCGCTCCTCGACCATGCAGCCTGGCCTGCTGGTACCGCAGCTTCTGTTTCTGCATCTCCTTCACCTGAACCACAGAAAACACAATCCTTTTTAAATTAACATTATTAACAAGTAAATAGCAAATATGATCATAAAAGAGGTTCATAAGGTGTCATGAAATAGTAAGGATTTATTTTGAAATTTAGTCAATTTACTCACTTCAAAGCTTTCGACCTCCTCGCCTTCATCATCATCATCATCATCATCATCATCATCTTCCGTACAGCAGCTCTGAGAAAATAAACGGCGCAATGATGATGCAAAACAAGGCTGAAAATTTAATAACTCAATAAGAGATAAATAATATATTTAATACTTCACCTCTTAAGTTTAAATACAATAAAACAAACTCAAATGTTTATATCCTTACAGTGTAAGTTCTTACTGTAACAATAAAACAGTAACTGTCCTTTGTTACAATATACATAGTTAAATGTTTTCAAATGGTAAATGGACTGTACTTATCTGTTATCTCTTATCTGTACTAAATACCTATCCTATGTATGATTCAGAGGCTTTCTTTGGCTTTTACAACTATAAAATTTATTTATTCAAAAACTATCTCACAATTTCCTCAAATAATGATGTAGATTCTCAGTCATTGAGGACGTGTCAAATTAAATCCAATTAGAGTTAAAAATGCAATTCAATTGGACTTTTTTTTCTAGTTGGAGATGTTTTGATCCCATCTGCCACCCTGGATAGGGAAGGAAAGTCTTCAACTGCAGACCAGAAATCCAGTTGTTTTGTTGTCTTTTGTTTTACTTTTTATGGACTCACGTTATGCCACATCCGTTCAAGCTAATTAAATGATTTGCAGGAATTTGTAAACCCTTTAAACTTTAATGAGGCTTTCTTCACAGAGAGTTACCTTGGCCATAATAACAGCATAGGACTTGTAAAGGCTGTCATTTTCATGCTTACTGTGAACAAGAAAAACAAACAATAAAAGAGAGTCAGAATAAAGGAAAGTTCATGAGTTAATCTCTGCAAAAATAATGGTGCTCAYTGATGATTCAAAAATCAAAATCACAGTCCCAGAATATGTCAAACATGTTCTAACAATTTTTTTTTCTTAAAACTAGACAAAAACTGTAAATTATTCTTTCATCACTGAAGAATTATGGATTTTCATGKCCATGCATATCTAAATAAAGAATGTAACAATACATGATTCTGCCCACAACTTGAGTCGACAAAAAGAACAAGACCCAGAATATACCAGAAAGTATTATTGCAGGATAAAATCTATACATTTATGGCCCTTTAGGAAACTCAGAAAAATTATACAATTCAGGCTTTTGAAATAAAAAAAATGAAAGTCAACAAGTTAATAATAAAAAGAKCATAATAACTCCACTTCAGGGCAATTTACCATTGACATTCCTGATCAGTATTAAAAGCAGACAGTTTGTTCTGCATAACAAACACACACTAACCTGCTTCCAGTTAGAGCATTTCGACTGAAGAGTGTAATGAGTTGTAGAAGTGGATCGATCAGCTTGGCACCTTCTTCCACATCCTTTACCTCCCCTTTGTCACCTCYGCACACGTTTATCACTCCTCCCCTCTGGAGGCCAGGGAAAGAGGGCAAAACTTCTAACAAGTGTCCATATTTTATGTTACACACTAGTCCAGGGTTCTGCAACCTTTATGATCAAAAGAGTCATTTGTGCTCTTTGTCTYATTAACAAAATGTGTTTGGAGCCACAAAACAAGCTACAACTGTGATTATCAACTGGTGGTCCGTGGGCCTTTTTGAGGCCTTTTCGGGAAACTTTATGGTCAGTGGAGGTGACATTACAAAACTAAAATAAATATTATTATTATTATTATATTGTTTATTATTATAAACATCAGGACAACTGAAAAGACAATATTCATGTAAACAAGAAAAATACTGTATATTGTTTATACCGAATTTCATAAAAACTAGTACAACTGAAGTATTCAGGCATATATGTTTGTTTCTAATTCTCATTATTATTTAGTCTTCAAATTATTTAAAGGTAATTCTGATGGATTTGAGAGAAAGAAGTTGGATTATTTAAGTAAACAACAGGCCAACATGTTTTACTTTTCTTATTAGTTGTATTGATCACATATTTGCATATTTGGTCACATTTTCAAAGAGCCACTGCAGAGGGACCAAAGAGCCACATGTGGCCCCAGAGCCGCAGGCTGCAGACCCCCGCACTAGTCAGTCAGTGTTTTATGTCCGACTATAGGTACACACCATGTTTGTGCCTTAACACAAAACACAAACATACCACTTGCAACTAATTAAATCATTCAGGTTTGACTTCAAGCTAAAATTTTGTTTTGTATTTCTAAATTTTTAAACAGAATCATAAAAAGTCAAGAAACCCTGGGATAAAACAAAACTAGTTGTCTTGATTTAGTTTTGATAATCTGAATTAAATTATAGAAAATACAATGTAACATTTTTCAAAAGAAAATAAAGATGTGCTCTGTTAAACAAAAATTCAACCATAAGCTTCTAAATGCTAAAATAGTTTTCTTTAACGGTAGAACAGCCTTTATCGTCAACTCACAGCTAAATTCTCCACAAGCATCTCTTCAAAGTTGTGAGTTTCAGAGGAAATCCAGAACTTAGTGTAGCCTTGGAGGAACAGGTTGACTGCTCGATGACTGAAAGGGAAGAGAAATTCGTAAAAAAAATTGAAGGAATAAAAGTAACAAAAGTGGGCAACAAGGGAAATAAAATCTAAAATGGAGACTTGTAACACCAGCTGACGCCTTAATCTTCTGAAGAACAACTAAAACACAAAAACACTAAATTTGTTGATAATGAGTAAAAAAAAGCTTCAACATCTTCCCCACAAATAAACAGATGTTTATGGAGAAACGTGGAATAAAAACCACATACATTCTTTAAATATACATACATTAGAGTGTTTTGTTTTATTTTATTTTATTCCTTTTTTTTAGTATTAAGTACCAGGTATTTTTACCGAGGTAAGTTGTAGAGTGGAGTCATCCTTAGGCAGGCCACCACTGCATGTTTTCTCTGTTTAGATAACACTTTGGACCATGCCGGCTTTTTACTTCTTTGTGGGTGTTCCACCTGTTTAAAATAAAAAAAGCTCATTTGACGTGCACATAAACCTCCAGTTTCCAAGAATGTGCAGTAAATAAAGGATTGGTTTGACTTATTGCGGATCGTTTACCAGGATCAAAGTGTGAGAACAAATTAAAACAAATACAGCTGCAACAATGTAGGAAGGTGGGTTTATATCTGGCTACTGTACTACGTAAGTGATACATAGAACTATAAAAATTCCTTCTGATTCAAGGTTGTAAACTTAGTTATATGTTATATTTTGTTTATATTTTAGTCAAAAAGCCAAACAGAGCTTGAAGTTATTATTCATGACAGGTTTGTCTGCTGCTAAATTGAATACATTTCTGCCTACCTGCGAGCCTAACATGAAAAACAAGAGAAATCTGATATCTTACTTGGCTGCCAGCTCTCAAAACCAATCAAAAGTCACTTTTTCTGTGAATCCATGTCCACCAAGCAGGTATATATAAAATGTTGCAACAATGTCAGCAAGAGATAATTATCTTGGAGGAGATGAATGATGAAGAAGACAGTTCAACAACACTTACGACTACCTTCATCTCACTTCACTTCACTGAACACACACAATTCTCGGAGCTTGGTCTAATCATTGAGGGGGGATGGATGCACCCAATGTCACTGTATCTACAGAGGCCAAGACGGCAAAGGATGAAGCCTCTGCTCGGTCTTAATCATTTTTTTTTCTTTCTTTCTTTATAGAATCGTAAAGCTCACCTGATCCAGGTAATAAAGGGCCTGAGCTATTTCTAGAATCCTGTCCACAGTCCTTTGTGTGTCAGAGAGAGCCCCGAGCTGTGTTTGGTGTTGAGCATTAAGAATCTCCTGCCTGTCGYTGTTTGATGCCTGAAAGGAGAGAATGTTGCATTTATTTATTTGGTTCTGAGTGAAAGGCTAAAGCGGGCATGTTTATGGATTTATTTTAATAAGAAAAAAAATAGGCTAACACCTGTAGTAGGAATAAAAGGAAGAAACAGAACTAAAATAAATAATCACTTTTTCAAATGATTGTACCTGTTTTTGATTTCTAGGAATTTTAAGTCTTAAAAACAATAATCGCAAAAAGACAACAGCAAAAAAACAAAACAAAAAAAAATCATTCAACCAAGTGTAAAACAAGATCCATTCAAAATAAAAAAAACAGTTCTCCTAATCATCCATTCTGTCACTGACTTATGAATAAACATATTTATCACTGAATTAGACATGCAGAAATGATGCCTGCAGATATTGCACTGTGTGGTGTGTTTGTCACATTCATGTCTCCGGTGAACAATGAGTCCATGACAAGGATTATTAAAATGACAGCTCTGGATTTTACAGGCTAGGAGAGCATTTTCCAGTTTAATATACCAGACACTTGTTGCACAAATTAAATGGTAAATTTAGTCAGCTATAAATAAATATGATGAATGGTATCAACAAAATGGGGGGTGCTATTCTTTATTAGACTAGCTTTATTAAACTCAGTTAAMTCACAGCTTTTTTTCTGCAACCAAGTTTTATTTTTGAGATACTCACAACAATGTCATGAAGATCATTCAAAAAATAGTAAGAAAGTAAGAAAAAAGTTTGATTTTTGTCCATTTGTTTGCATGCAGAAAATGGCTAAAAACACAATAATGGTGATTTTTCATAAAGAGGCTATTTCGACTGAGAAGTTGGATTATTTTTGAAATATTAGTACATGTTTACTCAAAAATCTGTTTAGCAGAGTAYACAGATAAAAGTGCCTTGTTACACTGCTTACCTGTGTCTCAGCACTGTTTATTATTACTACGCATCTTGAAAACTACTGCTGTAAACTGTAGTACTGCAGGAAAATGCAGTATAACCTCTAATCTTTGATTTCAGAGTTTGCAATGAGTACCTTTAACCAAAATATCCATAATAACAAAAAYATAATGAGACTCATTACCTGAACCTGAGAATGTAAAAGGTTGTTGAAAATATGCTCTCGAATCTCATCTTCAGTGTTTTTCTGTGGAAAGGAAAGAATTGAAACCACTGCAGTCTGCTGGTGTCAAATGTGATCATGCATTATTCAGTGCAAACATCTAGAATTACCACTTAACAAAGGACTTTTTGAAGAGAACAAAGACTTTACATGTTTATACATTTCCAACCAACCTGAAAGAAGCCGTTCTTAGCCAACATGATAAGGTTCTGGTCGCCTGGAAAACAAGCCCTGAGTCCCAAAGGAACCAGCCTCTTCATGGCAGCCACAATGAGAGAAGTGTGCACAGAATAGTGATCCCCTTTTGTCTTCATCCTCCTTTTGTCATGGTTAAACTGAGTGTCAAGAAGCCATAAATATGTTTTAATTGTGTTTGTTTGATACAAGTGATTAAACTATACAAAGATGCATTTCTGGGCATGACTGTAGTCATATGATCAAAAAGTAAGTATTGCTGACCTCTGACATTTTGTCATTGTAGATCAAGAATGCCAAGTTGTTAATATCATTTTGGACCACATAGTTCTGCTCCTCCCATTTGAAGTGCTGTTGTAGAAAACAGGTGAAGCTAATGTGCACTTTTTATGGGATAGTACARCGTTCACTCATAAAAATCTGCCAAAGCAGAGGCTTAAAATGAATTTTAAAAAAAATCAGAAAAAAAAGAATTCTGTGTGTCCTTACATGAGATTTGCCCCAGTATATAAAGACCTCTGCCACCATCCTGAACAGCTGCTCAGCCTCAGGGATTGGCTTTTTCAACCATCTGGCTCTGAAACAAAACAGAACAAAACACATTAACACGACAGAATACTCTTCTGTAAAGCTGGACCTAACCTAAAACAGGAACTTAAATAACCCCTTCAGCCTGTCCATCTTTGAATGTTTTAAAACAAAATCATTTACATCTTTAAGACATAATTTTTCTRTAAAATCAGAATCACAAGGAATTTCTCGAGGGATACCAATGCCTTTCATAGTGACATGGTAATGCCAATACAAGACGGTAAAATGGATTCTCTCTTTAACTTTTACACCTGAACTTGTTTTGTTTATGTCTTACCGATTCAAATCAACAAACTGGATGAGGAGAGGATAAAAGGCATAGAGGTCTCGCACCAGGATTCTGTATGTTTCCTCTATTTGCAGCTCTGCCTCAGAAATACAACATCCTTCTGCCTTAAGCTGTTCCTCCTCTAACAGAACRCATTCTGTCCTCTTCCTTAACTTCTCCATCAATGGCAGGAAGTGACTCTTCAACAGCTCAGAGCGAGCTTTGCATATGATTGGCTGTGAAAAAACTTACAGAAATAAAGGCTGCYATTAACAGCTGTCATTTTTTATGTGAGTATAATGACCACAGCATTGTACGGGATCAGAATACCTGCAATTTGTTTCATCCAGTCACCCTGGTTAACACCCACATGATTGTGGGTGATGCGGAGGATGTGGCCAATGAGGTCACTRGCATGCTGAGGAATGACTGTGGTGAAGACTGGCCTGTCGGGCTGACCCTCAGGGCCCCAATGCCACCAATGAGCAATGTAGCTGCACAACATGGGCACAGTGACCTCTGCAACATGGWCATAGGGGGTCTGATGAGCTCCTGCACCAACACCAGCCAACTCTTCCACCTCTTTCAGAGCCTCTTCCAAACAGGGCAGGAGATGACATACTTCTGCAACCTGATCTGGCAGTCCAAGATCTAGCACAGGAAAAAAAAAGTTTACTGATGGTCCTGAGGATTAAAGTGAAAATGGAAAATATCAGTGCTTTACCTTTTATCTGAGACGCACTCATGRTATTATAGATGGAATATGGATTATTATGGTTTAGAGATGGCTCCAGGAAGCAGATGGGAAAAGCCCCAGTAAGGGCTGCCAGGCATGCACCAACTGCTGACCTGTGTCTGCAAGGAGGATCAGTGTGAGGAGGCTTCATGAGTTAGACTGAGCCCTGCCTATCCCGTCTACTGTTGGCATCTGTGACAACATGGAGGAGCAAAAATGGCGACCAAACAAGGRGTTGGCTCACAGCCCTCATAGCAACTATTAGATTAACAGCAAGCCCAACTGAACCTGTGTCACAAAAGTTTTTTAATGTTTTTGTACAATAAACTAATACTATAGTTAATTATGTTAATTTTTTCCAACAGTCATGTAAAACAGCTAGATATACACAAGGAAAATATATAATTTATAAGTAAAAACGATATAAACTAGACTTGAAGTCAGCCAATAAATTAGACATTTTCGCTAGTTGAAAATGTTACATTATCATCCAAATYAGATGAATCACATCAAATCTACTGACTTGTGAAATKAGACATTTTCCTGTTTCTCTTTTGTTGGTACATTCATAACACACACAGCTTTCTGACATTTTTAAAACAACTGATAGCATCTATGATGAGGTCACATGGTCAAGGCTCACTCCAATTGTTATACAGACCTCCATGGAAGGTTTTGATTTCTAGAATCACATTTATGAACATTCTAGACRAAACTGATCATTTTACCTTAAGCTCATGCCTTTTCTCATCAMAAAAATATCTAAAAAGAAGAATATTAATATTTTCTAAGAAATAATGTCGCAATATAAACAGTACCCCTTCATCGAGATGCTGCTACTGGTTCCAAGAGAGTAAAGGCTGTTCAAGATCCTGTAACAGGACACCTGGGTTCTGCCAACTGGGGGGAAAAAAAGATGATGAATATTCAGGAACACCGAGCTGAACTAGCAGAATGCCTTATGGTTCAAGTATTGGATGATTTCAAAGGTCGAGGTGTTACTGGAACTCTCAATATGCTTCTGCTGCTCTGTGTCCAGATAAAATGTTTTAATCATGTGGAAGGTCGRCCAGTGATTGCAGAGGTATAGAAACCAGCTGCTCATCCTACACCTTGGTGCGCAAAGGTTAACAAAAAAACTACTGCAAACGTATGGTGTTTGCTACACCATGATGCCAATGTGACTTAAATGATTTAACAAGCTACAAATGAAACTACTAGAGTGTTTTCAGATTGTATCATATTTACTGATGGAGAATTGTATTTTATTTTTTTTCTCCAAGACCACAAAGGTGTCCCTACCTAGAAGGTCCACTCCATGGGTTTGACTACTGAGATGATGGAAGAAAGAAGTGAGCATAGGTAAAAGAATGGAGGTTGTGTAGTTGAGAAACTTGGCCGCTCCTCGAGTCAACTGGCCTCGACTCTGACATAAAGTTTCTGAGACCTCTTCCACAGTCATCTCCAAATCAGCTGCAGCTGCATCAAAGAATGAATTCAGACAAGWCTGGATAGACTCTGAGGCTGATGATAATGTTCTAGGATGAAAAGGGGAAAAAATATATATTACACATATATATATTTGCTGGATTTTTTGGGGGGGGGGATTATGTAACAAATAAGTTTACTCTACACAAAATTGGAAACTGTAAAACCAACTATTAACAAAGAAAATTGAAAAGTTATACAAGTTAAAGCTGAGATTGGTCTGAAGGACTATAATTAAACCAAGTAAACAGACTAAAATGGTTTCAGATCCATTCATCAGACAAGTCTTAATGACATCAATTTCTGTTGATCCCAAAAAAATGTTCAAGCATCATGCTTCAGTGGCATTGTCTACAGGGAATGAAAGTGATATCTACCACAATTAGATAGCATCAGCGTATCAGAGGTCTAATTACAACAGACATCTCATCCTCAGACATGGTGGTGCAACACTAATAAAGCAGAAAGCAAAGCAAGAAGATCGATTCAAGTAGTGTGACAGGAGTGCCATCTAGCTACCTGGCATCAAGAGCCTGAGTCAGAACGCAGAGGCAGCTTTTAACGTCGGAGGCTCCGTTTCCTAAGAAAACATATGCATCATTGCATTCAGATTATAGAAAAAACACAACTGCTTAGACAGAAGTCAGATGACTTTACAGCTTTAAAGAAGTTTGAATGTTGGTGGATCCAAACGTGAGCAACTGAAAGCAAACAAGCATGCAATAAACAAAACAAAACTAATGGAACAAAAAAAATGTCTGAGTAAATTTTATTTGAACATAATCCTTACCAATTAATGAGATCCGATGTCTTACCAAAGCTGCAAGCTTACAAAAGAGGCTAGTTGTGAACAAGTAACAGGATAAGAAGGAAAATAATATATATATTTTAGTACACAAGATCAAAGACAAAATATAATGGAAAATTTTATGATATTTTTATTAAGGGTTTTTACACACCAAACAATCATCTCCTTTTCTTTTTTTGAGGCACGACTTCTATTATCACTTGAGCGGAGAGAGGTAGACAGGAAATACAGACGATGGCTTTTGACATATTGTTCCAAAACAGGAAGGACAACCTGCAGAAAAGTAAACCAATAGTTACTTCATAAATCCACGACACTGCACCTTTAAATTTCCTCTGGTCAGCTTTCTACATGTAATTAAATTACACACTTGTTTGCCCTACTGCTCCAACAAGGCAACAATGCTTGCCGAGAGAAACATCGACCAGAATTCATGTCATGGCTTCACAAATACAGTAAATCACACTTGTTACAACATCAGTTCAGCCTCAGAAAGTCAATGTGCTTTAACCATGACTATTTTTTCAGAAAATAATTAACTAAAAAGTCATCAGGTAATGTTTATTTATTTATTTATTTGTTTATTTATTTATTTGTTTGTTTATTTGTTTATTTATTTTAATTTTTGTTACACCCATGTGAAGCAGCAGATAGATGAACTGACAAGCAGCCAACATTAGATTTGTTTGTCTGCATGCAGGAGTCTGGTTAAGTGGGAGAAGTGGGTGTAGAGATGTGAGGCATGACTGTTCATAGTCTTGGCTGAATGGGTCTGACTCAGGGGGTCCCATCAATGAAAAATAAACTTTTTTTGCTGCCTCCTTGGAGGCAGAGCAGCGTGGGAGGCTTTAATCTCTGTCCTGATGGCAATCGAAACGCCCACATGGATTTTCGAAATGGTTAAATAAATTACACGGCCACAAAGGCTTTGGCTTATAGGGATTGCCCATGGCAACCGTCTAACAAAACTAATTAGATGTCATAAATGACACGAGAAAAAAAGCTAATAAGAAAAAATAAAAGGCCATTGGAAAATGAAATTGGAAGTGGGTTAAATCAATGTCAGAGATTTTCTTCTTTTTTCCCCACAGAGAAGACTGAATGGGTTTAGATATAAATTTGAGATAAGACAAACCTTCTGAAAAAAGATTATTGGTTGAATGTCTGCTCTCTCTCCTTCAGATATCTGTCGTCTGGCTTGAATCACCTCTGTAAAGAAACAAAACGTTCAGTTTACTTAAGACAATCAGAATTAAACTGTTCAAGTAGACTAAAGCAAACTTGAATGTGAGCTCAGGAGACTGTTTTTTATGATTCAGGAACAACCATCAACTATTACAATATAGTCAAACTTTAGATGTAAAATAAATAGTTACCAAGTTTTAACATGATCTCTTGGGTCTCCTCGGTGTGAAATAACATTCGCTGAAGGAAGGTGTATCCAAAGCTGTTGCCTTTGGCTGGAAAGTCAGTTTCAGTTGTCTTTCGATCCCTGCAGAGTGCAATCAAACAAGATCATAAGTAGGCTCATAGCATTGTTGTGTTGTAATCTAAMGCAATTGTTCTATTGCAAAGTTTTTATCAAGGATTTTATTGCAGTGCTGCACTGGGAAAACAATACATTTATTTTGTCAGGGCAGTGATTAAAATTAATGTGCAACCTGTACAGGTGGGAAAAACATGTGAATTTGATGGATATTAAGGCTGCTGTGTGACGACAGCAGAGCAATATTACCATTACAAGACTTCATGGTTTTACACTACAAATATAAGTTTTTATGTTTTACTTTCCTTGTCATGCATTAAYCCTGTGCGTACCTCCACATTGTGTAACCGTTAAGCAGAAGAAACTTGAGTATATCCTGGGCTTTTTCTCTGAACTCGGTTTTCTCCTTGGCAGTCAGGGCATCGTAGGGTACGAGCATTGAATGGCCTCCACCCCCTGAGAACATAAACGCATTCAAAACATGGGTTTATTTTATTTGTGTGATTATTGAGAGGATAAAACATTAGGATGGTTTGCAGCCATATTATATCACCTTTACTCTCAAGTTCTGATTTCTTTGTTTTAGCCCAGATGTTGTGGTAGTTCTCAGCCAACTGTTCAGCCATGGTCTAAAAACAATATCATCCATTTACTTATTCAGAAGCACATTATAAAATGCAAAACAAGTGTCACCACYTTTGCAAAACCTACTTAAAATATAGGCAGCACTAAATTTCTGGATAATGTCCTGATGCATCTCAGTAATCCAGGTAAAAAATCAAAAGGAAAAAAAATTGTATAGGTCCTCTGGACGGGTTCTTCT